CCATCTATATTATTATGTATCAAGTACCAAAAACACACTTTTTTTTGAAACTTGATTTTCCTACCGCTATAGAACATAAAGAAATTTTCATTTAAAAATGTTTGGGTAAATTAACAAGCTTGGAGATAGCTTTTTTTGAGACTGGTTTTTTCTTAAATTTCATTATAATTTTTTCAGTTTATAGTTCCTATTGTTCGTCTTCTTAAATTTATTATTTCATTGATATACAAGAATTATGTTATGAAAAAACAAAAAAAAAAACAAAGATTAAACCTTCAAAATTTCTTATGACCGAATGACAAAATATTAATTTCAGCTTATTATTGTAAGAGGAAATGGCTCTAACAATTAAAATAAAATTAGGTTTATTTGATGGTTGTAGATTGTAGATTTGTACAACGAGGGTAACAGTGCACCGCAACCACGTATAAGGATCTATTGTGCGCCCCCATCCGAGTGCTTATTTGATGGTTAATATTAGACGAAATTTTATCTTATCGTGACGTAATGCAACAAATTATAGCATGTTTTTATTATTAATGGTTTTAAGAGAACAATTTTCGTGTTTTTATCTTGGAAACTTGCTGTTTTACAACCTCTATTTTCTTGAACTGCATTCTATATTTTCTAGTTTTTGTTTTAAATAATTTATTTGTTTAAAACAAAATTAGTTTGCTTTTATTATAAAATATTTACAAATGAAATAATAATAAAGTTTGTAACTACATAATGTTGTGTATAGAAAATATAAATAATAATATACATATCTATATGTGATAACCATATCATACATATTATATTTATATGTAAATATAAACATTTGATTTTCTAATTCGCGGCTAAAATACCAATAATGCATGTTCTTTTGTTGTACAATCTATACACATTTACTCTTTATAGTTGTCTCTATATATTTACACTTTATAATATTGTGCTCTTCTGAAGATGACTTAAGAAAAGTTATAATATTTTCTTATTGCACAAATATTTAAGTTATGTATGCTAGTTTTGTATATATATAACATTTTATGTATAGTACCACATTTTCAGCATCAAAGATTTTAATTTAGTTTACATAAGGTAATTAAATTTGTTTACATTTTGTATAAGAACCATACAAAATATAAAGTAAAATATTTGCATATTGTATATTAAGAATATCTTTGCGGTTTTTGAATTTAAAAATTTTATATATTCAAGGTGATATTACATATAGAATAAAGTAGTTGACATAATAGAAATTTTCCCATTTATTTAAGTGGTACAAATATTATTTCGAGAATATTTTACAAAAAGTATATAAGAAAATTTGTTATTTTTAAAAAGTCATTGTGCATCGTATTAAAAATTATCAGAGTTGGTGTGAGAGAATTTCAATTTGCAATTAAGTTTTTAATTAAAAAATTTATAGCAATTTTTTTTCAGGTGATGATCACAAGAAGCTCGTTTTATTAAAAAAGAAATTAATGATATGTAAAATTGATATTTATTAGTTGTAAGTAGGTATTCAGTGGTTACTAGCAGAATTTGGTATAGTATATAGTCCACCGGTACTTGATTTTGTTGAAATTTGCTTCTTAATTACGAAGCAAATATACGATTAGCAAAATAAGATTCTTTTTATTGTTAATTACAATTTAAATTGTCTAAAATCTATTTCCTGCATATTAAACAAAATTAACAAATTTAATTAGTTTTCACATTGTGGGCACATAAAAATTAATTAAACTCTTAACATGTCCTGCCTTTTGAAACCGGCCATCTCTTTGTATTTATTTTAGTATGTACATAAGGCGATATAAAACTAGATAAGGATTCGTAAAGCTATTTTACATGTAAGTGTTAATTTTACATGTAAGTGTTAAGTGAATACGCGTGTGTCTTTAATTTTCTACCACTTTTAAAAAAATGAAAAACATTGAAAAATATGCTTATAAGTATCATTACGTCAGTCCATTTGTCACTCTGTCCATTATTTGTTTACAATACTAGTACTCTCTTCTTCTATAAGATATAGAAAGCTGATATTTCATGGAAAAACTAAAATTTTGCTACTTTATTTTTTTAAAAGAAAATTTTTATCTATTCCCCGTCTTTCTAAAAATTTAAGCCCCCACAAAGTTTTTACGCGTTAAATTTTTTTTTCATCCCAAACGTATGCAATAATTTTAATATTTTGTTATTTTTATGAAAGAAATAGTAATTGTACATAGGTATTATAGCTTAATCCGAATTTATTTTCTTAAAAATTAAATATTAACTTCAAGTTCAGCTCAATAGTAAAAAAAATTTTAAATTTATAATAAAAATTAATTTTAACCAGATCACATTTACGAATTTATGTATTATTTCAAATTTACGGTAAGTATGAACTATATTTTCTCGAAAAATTCCATTATAGGTTCCATAAAATTAATAATTTCTCATATTTCTTGTTTAAAATTACTAATATAAAATACAGTAGTTTTAGGTGTGTGTAAAGTATATTTAATTTAGGCGAAGCCAAACGTTTCGAAACTAAACAAAATAATAAAATTTCTACATGATATTATAGATCAAAATAATATATTTTATTAGAATTTAATGCAAAATTCCAAAATATACGTAGAGCTTCTAATGGGGTAGTATCTGTTAATTATAAGAAAAAAAATTTAATTAAGAATATAACTAGGAGATACAATAATACAAGCAATAATTAGGACATACTTTTATTTTACAATTATTTTTAATAAAAATTCATTTTACATCTTATAATAACGGGAATAGCTTAATAACAGGCACAAGTATATAAAGATTTCTCTAACTATTCTTATTATTTTTGGAGGCAATTTAACTACTGATTGCATTTTATTGATAAATAAACATCACCATTTTTGTGTTGAGAAAACTTCTAAAATTTTTAATAATTTTTCATTTTATATTTAAAACTTTTAATATAGCCATAAACAACTAATTAATTTTTTTTCTAAATTTATTTTCTAGAATAAAAATTTACTTATTAATGGGAAAAACCATCATATGCAAATGCTTATTGAGCAGTAAAATTTTATAGTACAACAACATGTAAATGTCAATAAAGAGAATAATAACGTTCTTCTATAATTAACAATCTTTTAGCTTAACTAAGATTTCCTTCTTCTATTTTTCTGTGCTATTTTTCTAAAAAATATAATTAAATTTTATTATGATCTTGAAATAGATTTTTTTACAAGTACTTTACAATTTTAACAACACAAATAATAAAATAATTTTTTTTTTTTTAGAGAAAACACAAGAATAAGAAATTATAAAGCAAAATGTTAAAGAATCTAAGGACATTTTTAGTTGAACATTAAAATTAATGAATTAAAATTGATTCCGAAAGGAGGATAATTAATATTAGTTTAATAGTATGCAAGCATAATTAGATAGAGATTATATTGTATTTTAGATAAGGTATACATTATACTAATAATGAATATAGAAAAATAATTGAATTTTATTATTTGTACAAGTCCGCGAATATTACAATTTGTATATTTTATAGTATACTACAATCTAGGGAATATAAATTAAGTTCAATTTAGTGGAAAAATTTTTGTAAAATGGTGGTCTATTTGAATATTCATTCATACAATAGAATAATGAAATAAATTTATTGTGAATGGTATATTTTTTAAGCTCAGTCCTAGGAAATAATTGGAGTTAAAATGAGTTTTTAAATTTTAATTCAAATAAAACGGAAAGTTGGGGCGGATACTTGAGTTTTTTTTTTAAATTATAACTCGTAAGTAATGGGAGACAAACAAAAGAGATAAGTCACCATCTCTTTCTTATTTTGGGTGACAGTTTCTTTTACAGATAACGCTGATTACACAATGTGTTTCTTTATATAACTCGCCATGAAAAAATTCAAAGCTCTGGTTCATTTATGTAGATCTAGGTTTGTCTATAATTCCCTGGTTGCGTTATATATTATTACGTTTACCGACGCATATGATTACTTTTATGTAGCAAATTATCAACAAAAATGAATTTCAAATTTTTTGTTTCTACCATTAAAGATTGCCCTTAAAATATTTAAAAAATCATATACATTAAAATTAAAGAATAAAAAAAAATTAAGTAATTTGAGTTCATTACAACAAAAATAATCATGTTGTAAAAACATAAAATTTATATACTTTTTTTTTGCTAATGGAACAACCTTTAAAAAAATTGAGTTTTAATCTTAATACAAAAAAAAAAACAACAAAACCATTAAAGAGAACATTCACATTTTGTACATTCTTTTTAATAGTTCTTGTGATTTACAAGTTAAAGAATAAAAATATTAAAGATTTGAAGATTTCATAAAATTTTTCTTTTTGAATGTTCCCGATTTGTGTATGCTATTGAAGAATCGAAATGACAAATTATTTGTGATTTTGCGAATTCCGTTATTAATTAAAGGTTTATTTACAATTGTTTTCAACTCAAACAAAGCGAGAGCAGAAGCTGAATTCTAAAGAAATGAGAATAAGAAAAGTAAATCATATTTTTGATCAAAAATATTCTTGATATTACTTTCGATAATAAAAGAAAATTAACCAAATCGCTATTAAAAACTAGCTGATATCAACTGCCTTTGTGAAAAATTAGTTCAAATGATACAAATATAAGTTCTAAGCAATATGAGTATCAGCTTTATTTCTTAAGTTATAACGGAGTAAATCCATTATTAAACTGGTTGAAATGATATACAAAGAACACTTTTTTGACAAAATATCGTGAATTTTTATTATCGCCACAAAATCAGTTTAAAAAGGGCCATTGTTACCGCATGTATGAGAACTATTAAATTTAAAAATTTAAGGGTAAATTTATAATTTATTTACTAATTTATCAGAAATTTCAATCCCATTATTAGTTTTCGCTTATTTTTAATAAAATTTTTCCGAAAAATATGGCTAAATTATTATTTATTGTTAACTACTCAAGAAAATAACGAATTAAATTTTATTATGCATCTGTTTACTTACTTTTCAAATAAGAAGACATCATAAAAGACGAGACTGTAAAGATACAAAAAAAAGAAAAAGAAAAACAAAATTATATATGCAATAATAACGTTTAAAATAAACTAAAAAATAAAAATTATATGATTAAAAGTAATGCAAAAATCGATGAATTCAGAAAAAAAAAAAAAAAAAAAACAATTAAAACAAATAAAATTTAAGACTTTTAAAACAACAAATGGATGATTCTTCTCTTAAGATAGAACTAGATATAACAATAAAATATACAATATAAATTATAATTTTATATATGTATGTATATGCATAATTTACACACCCATTTATGTAGCCATTGGGCTTTTGATTATAACAAGACAGCCACAGAGACTTAAAGAATGTGTAAAGACATAACAAGAGCCTTAAACTATTTAGCAAATATAAAAAAAAAATTTTATTTTTTTTTTTCATTTTCGAATATTCTTTAGATACCCTTGTCTGTTCAGGGTTGCCAATCATGAAAAAAATAATGGGCTAAAATTAGGCAAAATATGACAAACAGATTTTATACTCAAATTATATTTTATTTAAAATTTCTACATTTTATTTTAAACCCCACATTATTTTTAGTATTGAAATCCTGTAATTTACTTTTTCATTCACTTCCCACAACTTTATTTCTCCAACTGAAGCAAGTTTATTCAAAAAAAGACAAAAAAAAAAAACTATTCTTACGCTCTCAACAAAAGTTACCACATAAATGACAATATCATGAGGACGTGAACAATTTTGTCAGTTTTTTTTAGTATTTTATCACTGCTAATATTAAGTGGAAATGAGCACCGCTAATATTAAATTTCCACTGATATACACACGTTATCAGTAATACATACACAGTATTATAACTTAGTTTTTAGGTGTGGGCCCTATCTAATCAAATTTTAATAGAAAACTTTTGTAAAAGAGAAAAAATTAAAATTTTTCTCAAACAGTTCAAAAAATGGAAGTTTTGTTCATTTGGACCAAAGTGGCAACACTAATTTTGTTCTGTTTTTTTATGACTTTTAAACATCTGTGATCTATATAACGTTTGTATTTAGGTATGTGTATGTGTATGCATACTTGTGTATAATATCATTTATATGAATCATTTAAAAATGTTCTCGAAAAGCTATCAAAATAGAATTGAATATTTATAATAATTTTTATGCTAGCTATAAGACATTTTTTGCTTATACTTGTTTCAGAGAATCTGATTTGAAATGACTGGATGATGAAAAATAATAAAACAAGAAGAAGAAAACATAAAAATTAACACTTGTAAAAATGCTGTTTTTTTTTTTTTTAATTTTTTTATTTTGATTTCATTTTGGATTTTATAAACGATATGAGTATAAATTTCGCAATAAAAAATTAAAAATATTTATTTTTTGTTCTTTTATGATTAAAAAATTTTGATACGATTGTAATTCATATACATATATAATGTAATGAACATCGCTTTTGGGTTCTTTTATGTACAAAAATTAAGTAGAAATAAAATAAAATTTTTTGGTAAAATAATTTTGAACAATTATTCTTGGTTTGTAAATTTGTTCACATTCATTTTGGATCAAAAAATTGGTTTACAATATTAATTGTAATTTTTTTTTTGTAAAAATATGAATTTTTTCTTAAATTTTTGCATATTAAACGTTTTAATAAATAAATTTTATAAAATTTATATTGTATTTTAAGTTGGCTATCTTCTCATTTTGTTGACGAAAACTCATACAATTTCGTCCGGAATTCTGCTAAATGGATTCATCTTTTGTCCTACATTTTAAAATTTTTTGTTTCGTCCATATACCCATTTAAGACTTTTTATTATTTTATTTAGTTCATTTATTTAATTCATTTTTTTTTGTAAGTTGCTTGAAGTCAGAAAAATAATTAATTCGAAATTTTTTCATAATTTTGTTAATTATAATGGCATTATATAATATGTAGTTAAAGGATTGAGAATAATGGAATGAAAAATGGTTGCATGGTTCTAAAGTCCAAACGATACCAGTAGACTATATTAACGATTTGTTAGATAAGTCAAACATTAAAAATTTAGGAGCTAATATGTTAAATAAAATTTTACTGCCTAGTACTATTGTGGGATAATAATTCGAACGTTATTATATTATTATTCCAGCTTTCTTAAATTCTAGTAGAATAAGTTATCATAGTCATAATATTTTAGATCAATTTTTGTGTAAATTAATAAAAACTTTAACTAATTCTAGATTTAATGCCTGTTCTAAGCGGTTGCCTTTGTTTCAATTATATGAACTTAATTTTTAATTGATATATTACTGTTTAATAAAAATTTTTGAAGCGGCTACGAAAAACGCAAATTAATAATAATTCTTTTGTTAATAAAATACATTAACGATAGGATTCAATTAAGGTAATTATTCAGGTATTAAAATTCCTTGAAATTTGTGGTTTAGAAACGTTTCAAATGACTGGAATTTTCATAATATTAACATCAATGTGTTAAAATAGATAAAATTATTTTTGCATATTTTTAGGGGCTTTAAATTTTCTAATTAAAATTATGAAATAAATAGTAATTTAAACTCTTTTACATATTCAAATTTTATAATTGGATTTATTAGACTAGCTGTTATGTAAAATAAAATTACATTATAAATAATTTTTGTAAAAAATCAATTCCCATGAAAATATCGCAATTACGAGTACATACACGAATTTCTTAATAAATTTTCAATTTTAAATCACTCTTACTTTATAATAACCCATCGATTAAAAATAAAACAAAAAAAAAATACCATTGAAAAATTATTTTAATTCGAAATCAAATCACACTTCAATCTAAACAAAAATTTAAATAAATTTTCAACTTTACAAATCACAACTTTTTATTATTTTTTTTTTGTTCTCTTTATTCTTTTGCTCTGTTAAAATTACAGAACAGACAAAAAAAAGAGTGAATGAAGGCAAAAAGAAAAGACATTGAGAATTGAAAGAAGTCAGATTACAAGTTAGCATTGAAAACGAGTAGAATTAAAAAAAAATGGGAAAAAAAATTTGAAGAAAAAACGCCTTCAAGACACAAAAAAAAAAAATTATAAATAAATAATAATAAAAATGAAAAAGACACAACAATAATAAAAACAATAACAAGGAATGAGAGAAAAAAAAAAAACAAGAATATTTCAAATCAGTGATAAGCTCTTTAGCGATAATAACTTTATAGTTGAATTTTTGAAGTACTTGAGCCTGATGGCATCAATATTATAAAGAAACAGAAAAAGAGAATTGAAAATGAAAAACTTAAAAAGAGAAAAAAATGAATTGCACTCTGCTTGTAATAAAAACCAAAGAAACATACAAGAAAAATAAAAAAAGAAAAATGAAAAATTAAAAAGAAATCATCATAACTACAATAATGCCATCTATATGTACATATGTATAAGTGTATATATTATAAAAATTGAACATCATAAGAAAAAATTGAAATATTATGGGAGTAAAGTAATAAAAATTCATAAAAATTTTCATATAAATTTTCACAATTTCAATGATTTTTGCATATACATACAAAATGAACACGTACTTCTCTCTCATATAATATTCTTCCCCTACTTCTTCTACTAAACATAATCATTTGCAATAAAAATTTTTACGTCTGCAAGTGGTTTTATTCACAAACAAAAACAAAATGCACAAGAAAAAAAAAATCAAAGAATATTTTGTGCAAATACGTATGTAATTTTCATAGCTGACATTAGAAAAAAAAATTTTATGTACATACATATGTGTATAAAAGAACTTTGTTTATTCTTAAAGTGATTTTTGGGGGCAAACCAATCAACCAACCATATATTTTTATTTATAAAAATTGTTCATGACTTTATCAGCAGAAAGAGAAGAAAAAAAAAGCCAAGTAACTTGATTTTATAATGCTGTACAATATTTTTTGTTTGCTTATTCATGGAATTTTATTAGAGTATTAAAACTTAAAAACTAAGATCAAATTTCAATATTCTATTAATTTATACTTTAAGAAAAAAAAAATTTAATTCATTCTAATAATATATGTAAGCATTAAAATGTCGCTTGATATTATAAAATAATTTATATGCCGTTTTAATAATGGTATTATATATGGGTCAATAAAAATAAATCGGGCAAATGGAACTAATTTTAAACTAGATTTATAAAAAAAAAATTTACAATGTAATTCGAAAATTATTAATTTATTTATAATTTGCCTTGTTTTTTTTTCGGTTCTCATATAAAAATAGATTTTCCGATATTTTGAAAGTAATTGTTCTATTTTAAGAATAATATTGTGAATTAAAACTTAATTGGTATGCAGATGCAATATTATAGATATTGTTAATTGATTACTAAAAGAATTTGCTTCAATAATGTAAAATTATAATTGTAATGAACTAATCAATTGAACACTGGACGCTTAGATTCATGAAGAATAACAAAATCCAATTAGGTATTGTAAACGTATTGGCAACTTTTAAATGCATATTTTTATTTTAATTTTGGATTGAATTAAAAACACTATTAAAATGTAATTTTAACTTCTTTCATATTATTTCTAATATTTCTAATATTATTTTCTTAAATACTTTTTTGAAAGTTTTCCGAAATATTTTTATCATTAACTCAACATATGCAGCATATGCCTAAGAATAAAACTATTATTAGAAAATTTAAATAGAAAAAAAATTCGACATTCTGTTCGAATCGACATTCTGTCCGAATGTGCAATTTTTCAATAATAGAATGCATTTAATTTGTTTTTGAAAGTTCTAAAGAGAATGTTTTGGTGGAAAACTTAGTGAAAATGATGTACATATGATCAATCAAAAGTAATTCAATTAATTAACATTGAGTTAATTAAATTCATAGTGTCCGCCTGAAAAGGTATACTTAAATCAAAATCATTATTCATTTACAAAAATTCGATTTTCGTATTGAAATCAAAATCACAGCAATCTTATTCTACTTGTTCTATTGAAAGTTCAATGAATGCAATGTTATTC